TCCTTAATACACTATTCCCTTTATTTTCTGCTCTCCCACCCTTCTCCTTAGGTTGCTTTCCTTTCTCCTTGGCTTTTTTTTTTTTTAATTCCAAGGGCATTATTAGAAAGCACTTTCTGAAGAATAGAAAATATTCTATTCTGTGTGGTGGTCTTACGAAGTGGCCTGGTATTTGTGGATTACACCTTTCTGCATTCCCTACAGTCTAGTTTTTCACTTATAGCTTGTAGCATTTCTCTTACATTCAATTGTGGTTTAATAGTAAACATAACAAAAATTTCCAAACAGGAACATTTTCATGGCACCAATAAGCATTTTGTCATTGATGGTGGTGGTGGAGGGGGAAGGAGGGAATCCTCTGTTTTCAGGAGGGCTTTCACTTCCTTCCTTCCCCTTCCCAGATCTCAGAACCCTTTGCATTCAGCGAACTGTAGTTTCAGAAGAAGCATATTCTATGTTTGAATACTGCAAAGATTACATTTTGCAAGAAGTGCCTGTGTTTGCATTTGTTCTTACACACTTTAGGGGTCATAATATGTACTAAAAAGACAAAAAACTGGCCAATCAAAATCCCTCTTTTCAAACAAAGGAGGTTTTCTGAACCATTCTGTTGCCTTTGAAGGCATAATGAAATATTGGAAACTTGCAACATTACTTTTTAAAGCTCCACAGATGAGTTTTGAGCATTTTTATTTTGTGACAAACCCACAGACTCCTGGTTCTCCAACACCTAAGGTGTTGGTGTTTCAGTAATCTATGCCTATTTACCTGCTGCTATTCCCTCAGAATGGGAGCAATAATTCAAGATGAAATACAGCATGTATTACTCTTGAAAAGAGGAATTTTCTATCCTTTCCTCCGTAATTGAGGTCATTCAACCACTAGGGTTCACCTGGAGTCCATACCGTGATACACGCGTCACTCCGAGCCATTTTATCTTTTGTGCTGATAGTCAAGATCACAGCTCTAACATTGACATCAAACTCTGTCTGGGCAGATGACTAAGAGCGCTGCACAATGTAAACTTTTGACCCTCAACTTTTTGACCTGCAGTTGTAACGCACTAACCACAAAGATACACAAAGCTGAGCCTCTTCTTTCAGGGGGAAGAGGTCCCCTAGCATCTCAGGATGCCCTGCTTCTGCCACTGCCATTTGAAATTAGCGGGTGAAATGGATGTTTTTGTGTGTTTGTGACTGTATTTCCTGTTAAATCAGCCTACGACCTCTTTTTCTCAGCACCTAGGGACTAGATTAACTTGAAATCACTCATGGTTCTATTTTACCAGGAAAATTTGGAGCAGAAGGGGAGAACCTTGCAAAAAGTGAAAGAAAAGAGAAGATGGGGGAAAGCAGGCAATGGGAGGTAGAGACACTTTTTCCCTTTATTTAAAACTAAAGACACAGCCCTAATTGTTGGGAGAGCTGGCCCAGGCGGGTGAGTTGACTGTGAACTTGTACTAAAGCGTGCTCTGCTGGCGATTCCTAGGGTGTGCAGATTTATCTTCTCTGCATTTACTTAACCCGGCAGTGAACTTCGCGGGCGTCATTTGTTAGCAATGACAGACTTCACCTCCAGCAAGGGCTGCTTCACAAAATTGCAATAATTATCTAATAACCTTCATAACAAATATTATTATTGAAAAGACTGGTTTGTGGGGAGGGGACCTGGTAGGAAAATAACAAATTGATTTGTGAAAAATACCAAACAAAACAAACCTGGGCAGACCTTCAAGTTCTGAGGCTTAGAATGGCTGGGGCTGTGGATCCCCTCCCCTATGTGGGTGGGAGCTTAGGCTGACCCCCTCAGCCCTGCCTGGGAGCCCCGTTTATAGTTTTGCCATTGACTAGAAGGAAATTCCTCTTAGAAACCAAAGGGATGGAGCCCATAATGCTCTGCACTCTCCATGGTGGGCAAGCCATGGACAGACCCCCAGCCAAGGCAGGGGAGAGGCTGAGAAGGGCATCTTTTAAGTTAAAAGGATAGTTTTCCTCCTCAATTGCCCATCTTTTAAGATGTGATTTGCTTTCCACTCACTAATTATTTGGATATAATACTCTCAGAATCTCAACAAATGAACAGGACTCTGTTTTTGGTAGGAAATTCTGTCTTGCTCTCCCAGAACCGCCAACAATAAAGCAGGGGAAAGAGCAGGAGAAAAGGAATCTTGGCATAATGTTGTGAAATTAGACCATGGAAACCCTAACAAACCCGTAAGTAGTGTGACCAGAAGCTTCCTGTTGTATTTATAGTTCAGGAATATTGTCTCTTCAGTTTGTGGAAACAAATGAGCCCCTGCACATTGCTGCCGAAGAGAAGCACAGACACACTTCTGCCACCGGCTGAGGCTGGATGTCTTCATAAAGCCCTCAGTGACCTAAATATTTTTTCTTAGTAAGTTCCTCTGCAAGAACAACCCAAGAATCCACAAAAGAAATAACTTATCTACAGAATGAGCAGAAAACCAGCCATCCTCTTGATTATGCTTCCTATGAAAATAGGAAGAAAGAAAAAAAAAAACCCTCCAATAATACATAGGTCTGACGGCATGCTGTATTTTTGAAAAGTCATTTAATTCCATGTGGCCATGTGGGTTGTCCTGCTCCCTTAAATTCTACTTAAGTTTTGTGAAGATTAAAACAGACAGAAATAAGCAAGCTGACAATATTTACAGTCTGTAATTTTTCTCATTCCTTGGAAACATTCTCTATGTTATGTGGTGCTGGAAATGACTTCAACAGGCTTTCTGCTCATTCCCACACCCCAAGGTGGAATATAGCCATGAAGGTAGTGTGGACGCTTTCTGTGTGAGTTACTCCAACTAAACTGTCAGAACCCCTGTCACTCTAACTCTCTCTTATTTTTATTTTATTTTATTTTATTTTTTGCTTCTAATTTCACTCACCAAGCAAGATCACCAAATGAGTAACTAAAATGGAACCATAACCCAATATTTTCCGATAAGGAGCCCAAAATTCAGAGCAGCAAAACAAAGAATCCAGTATTCTCACAGACACATAACATTATAAAAGAGAGCCCATACCCATGTAGAGTTTATATTCTTGTTCCCACTAAGATGTGGACACCTCTTCTTGACTGCTGAAATACCAATGTCCACTTTAATAGGTTACACACGATGACTTTAAGATTCTTTACCTTGCCACAATTCATGAGAAGTTGGGCTTGTGGGGGGGTTTCGATTTAAAAAAAAAAAACAAAACTTTCTAGGTTTTGCTTTCTGGACCTCTGACTTTGGGGACATCTGTTGCACTTATGTTGAGTGTAGGTGGCCTCTGCACAAGAAACTTTATTGAAATTTCAAATCTATACTTTCAGTGTTTTCACTTTAAGCACTTAATAGGTATCTTTACCAATTAATACTCGCCAAAAACTGCCCAGCTCTTAAGGAGAAAAGCAGATCCTATTTTTTCTTTCATTTCTGAATGCAGTAGGAGAATTTGCCTTAATTCCTAAAATAGGATTGGGGGAAATATACTGAGTCCCGTGTGGGTACCCATCCAGAAAAAGATCCCAGGACAGGCCACATAGTCCCCAGTTACTGGGCTTGGGTTTTGCCATTGAAGAATATGGAGGATTGGAGCCAGAAGGGGTGACTGGGGCCAATATGGAACTGTACCCAGGATAAACTTATTTCACCTTACTTCACCCATTGGTGCAATTGTGGAGACTGTTCTGGAAATCATAGAGTATGTAAATTTCCTGGGATCAAACAGAAAGAGCAGCTAACAAAAGAAAGGCGGAAATCTCCTACTGACAAAGGACCAATTTCTTCCCTAAACTACCGTTTACGATGTGTCAGGAAAAACAACCTAATGGCTCTGGGGATTTTTAAGTTGGGCATTGAAGACACCTCAATTTCCCCCCAAACTTTAGAGCACAGTTTGGAACAGAGAATTCGCCTGTATGTTGAGGGGGAGTGAATTTCTCCAATCTTTAATGTCATCTAGGGGGCTGCCTAAGTTGCCTTTTGAGGGTCCTGTGCGTAGATGTTTTAAGTCTACGAAGAAGGAGAGGAAAAGGAAAGAAGAGAGGGAGAAGAAAGGCAAGGCGAAAGAAAAGAAAGTGCTTTAACCCCTTTCAATTAGCCTGAGGATTCAAAGACTAAAGTTAAATCCGGCCATAAAGTTTATTGCTTCAGACTCACAGGCGGGTGAGAACAGTCTCACCGAAATAAAAAGAACGTGCAAGCAAACAGGGTTCAGGGCCTGGTCCCGGGTGCGGGGGAGGGGGTGCTGAGCACCCCCCAGCAGGGTGGGGACCCTTGGTCCCCAGGGTCCGGTGGGCGCTAGCAGCCCAATCTCCACCTCGCAACCCAGGGGCCCAGCCTGGAGGTGCAGCCTCCGCCTCGCCGGCCTCTGCCACCCTCCGGCTCTCTTGAGCTGAAACCCCGAAGGCCGCCGCCTCAGTTCAACCCTGCCAAAGACCCTGGCCCCGAAGACATATTGCCACAGCCCCGTAAGGAATCCCTCCAGAGTCCGCCTCGGCCCTGCCCGGGCCTTTCTTTCAAACTCCTGAGCTCAGCGCGGCCCTCGGCGCCCGCGGCTGGCGCCCCACTGTCTCCCAGCCCCCACCTCAAGGCTCCGTGACCCCCAGAAGCTGGCCCGGCCGGCCCAGCAATTGCGCGGAGGGCTGGGGCTGCGGCCCTGCCCGGTCCCCACACACAGGCCCATTCGCACACAAAAATCATCTTTTTGCACGCCAGCGGGAGCAGCGGAAGTTATTAACATCCGCGGTTGTGCAGCAATTAAAGTTAGGCCTGAGGATGCCGCGCGGTCACAGGCGCTGCTCACCCTCCTGCCTCCGCAGAGCTGGCTCCTGGCGCTGCTCTCTTGGGCAGGGGGAAGTTTGCTCTGCCTTTTCGAATTCAGAGGCAGCCTCAGAGTTATTGAACCAGAGAGAAAGAGAGAGAGAGAGAGAGAGCAAGGAAGAAACTTTCCAAAGTACAAATAAACTTGAAAGCGCTCAAGAGGCGAGCTTACCTTAACTCGGAGGGAGCCATTTTTCAGGGAGTTTTGAGAACTTGTGGTTTGGACACTTCTGGACCTAAAATTGACAGTTTGAATGGCCAGGCAGCACACGTAGCCTGCAAAAGAGTCAAATGGAGTCCAGCGTTAGTGAGATTATATGTTATGTGGTATATAATGTTGGATGTCAACTCCCCAAAACCATAAAACTTACTTTAATGGCCCCACGTGACGTTTTATAGCCAGTGAGCCGATCTGTCTGTGCTATGGATGATTTTACGATCTAATTCATAGACAAAACCCTATTCATTTGGCACCCAAATGTCATATAGCCGGAACTGGGGCTTATAAAGTTTACTGTTTTATAACTTTTAAAAGGAAAGACGGCATCAGTGTAAGCAGTCGGTAAATGTGCAAATCTCTAGTTGCGCTTTAGCTGCTCTGAGGAGTTTCCCAATCGAGCTAGGATGGGGTAAGTACCTTCCATTTGTAGCAAATTAATTGTAGCAAAAGAAGCCAACTGGGTCCAGGGTGAAAAGTGGGGAAGGGGTGCTGGGACGGGTTAAGGGCAGAGGGTTTGGGGACCATAGCCAGGCAGAGCAGCGTCTCCAGCAAGTGGAGGCCTAGGACAGCCTTAGGAAAGAGGCAGGGTCTGTGTGGCCCGAGGGCAGCTAACAAAGCCCTGGGCTTTTTCTCCTTCTTTCTCACTCTGTCTCTCTGTTTTGTACCCAGCAAGTTAACTTGGTTCCTCAGAGATGTGCAGGGTGGACTCGGGCTTTGGAACTGCCTGCAGCTTTTCCCACCTTCTGCCCTGTACTTTGTGATGGGTCAGAGTTAGGGAGGCGATGGGCCAGTGTTGGTCTGAGGTCTCCCTGCACAGGTCATCTGCTCAGGTAGCCTCAGACCTACGGGCTTCCAGGACTGAACAGACAGACAGAAAAGCAGACAGAGCCACTCACTATTTGGCACAAACCAGACCAAGAGAACTTACAATAGAAAGTTTATTTTTTGTTCCAGTCAGTATTTTTTCCTTAAAAACAAATACCAAAAAAACAAAAAACAAAACAAAAAGCTGATCACAGTTTGCTTAAAACAGCCAGACTTGGACAATATTTGTAACTTTGTTCACAAAAACATACATCACTGAAGCTGCGCTTATAAGAGCCACTTCCAGAGTTCGTGCAAAGGGTCCTACAAAGGCACGCAGGGACACACCGCTTGGAGTCACAGTTTTCGTCACAGAGTCACTAGTCACTACACGTCGAACAAGTCGTGTCTCATCAAGTCACCTCTACAACAGCATTAATTACACAAGGAATATAGGTAGTTTGAATAAAAATATCTTTAACAGCTTGGAGCTATTGAGACAGGAACACTTCCACGCACATGCACAGTTAAACAACTTGAGTGCAACACACAACATTGGCACTAAACGAGATTGAAGGGGGACTTTTTGTGTGTTTTTTTTCTCTTTTCTTTTTTTGTTATAGTTACTTCAAGTAACACAGCTTGCTTCATATAAATAAGTTAAAACATCTATTTTTTTTTTTTTCAAGACAAAGCCATTCAGGACAAAGAGATGAACAGAAAGCAGATCTACTTATACAGGCGCTATAATGGCAATAAACAGGCTCATGATTAAAAGATGAATTAGGGAAACAAGAACAGGGCTTCTTCACAGAAGGAACACAAGGGAGTTTCAGAAAGTCACCTTAGTACTGACACTATGCGGGATCCGCTAATACTGCTCAGTACTTTAAACGCTCAGATATTCAGGGGCGGAAGGCCCCTCCTGCTGCGGCCATGCTCATGCTTTTCAGCTTATTATCTTTTTTCCACTTCATTCTCCGGTTTTGGAACCAGATTTTAATTTGTCTCTCGGAGAGGCAAAGAGCATGTGCTATTTCAATCCTTCTTCGGCGGGTCAGGTAGCGGTTGAAGTGGAACTCCTTCTCCAGCTCCAGGGTCTGGTAGCGCGTGTAGGCCGTCCGGGCCCTTTTGCCTTCCGGGCCGCCTATGTTGTCTGCAATAGAAAAGTCAGCGGTTTAGCCACCAACTCCTCACCCCCTGGCTTCCAAAGTCCGCCAGGGGGACAAGCTCGCGTCCTGAGCAGGGAACCCAGGCGAAAGGCTCAACAAGTTCTCCCTACCAGCCCGCACACCCCTCCCGAATTTCCTTCCCTCTTCCTTTCTAGAGAGAAAACAATACGATTTGGACCCTGGGAACAATCCGCCCATCTGAGGCTGGGGCCGTGACCGGAGGACTCCGGCTTTCCCTGGCCTCACTCCTGCCCTCTCCGCCCTACCCCGGGCGCCCCGATCGGGAGGTACAGCCCTCCCAGGCTGCCCACCGTTCAGAAGCCTAGGATGCACGGCCCTTTCCTGAGCGCCCAAGTGGCCTTCGGGTCACCCTGCCTCAAAGTTCCAGTCCCGCGAGCCGCCTCCAGTGGCCAGCCTGCAGGCTTGGGGCGCCTGCTTTCTTTTTCTTCCCTTTCCTTCTCTCTCCCTCCTGCCCCCAAACTTCAGAATCCTGCAGGCTCTCTCCTCGATTTTACCCCCCAAGCCCCTTTTCCGGGGCTCTAATTAGTAACGCTGTTTCCCCAGCGTAACCCTCTTCATAAATCATCCGTCCTGACAAGCCCGATTCACGGCTCCTACTGCCATCCTCTACCTCTCTGTGCCTTGCTCGGCTGGCCTGACCCGGGAGCGCGTTACAAGGCGTTGGGGTTCAGAGGGGTTTTTTTTGCTTCCTTCCCCTTTCAATGTCTAAACTGGCCCTGCCAGCGCCCGATTCCCCCATTATTTGTGAGCGAAGAGTGTTTGCAAAGAAAAGGAGGAAGGAGGAAGGCAGGAGAAGGAGAATGGCAAGGAGAGGCTCCGCAGGGCTGGGAGAAATGAGACCAGGAGAGAGACTGGGAGAGGGTGGCAGAGAAGAGAGAGGGGATCGAGAGCCGCGTCCCCGTGGTCGCGTGGATTTAGAAAAAGGCTGGCTTTACCATGACTTATGTGCAGCTTGCGCATCCAGGGGTAGATCTGGGGTTGGGCGGGCGGCGCCGGGCTCGGCTCGCTCTGCGCACTCGCCTGCTCGCTGCTGGCAGGGGCGTCCTCCTCGGCTCCGGACGCCGTGCCAACCCCCTCTCTGCTGCTGATGTGGGTGCTGCCGGCGTTGGCCGAGGCGCCGCTGGAGTTGCCCAGGGAGTTTTTCCCGCCGTGGTGGCTGTCGCCGCCGGGCGAGGGGGCCACGGCGGAGCAGGGCAGCGGGTCAGGCGGAGGCGAGTGCGTGGACGTGGCCGGCTGGCTGTACCTGGGTTCGGCGGGCGCCGCGCTGGCGCCGGCCGCGTAGCTGCGGGCGCGCTCTCCGGAGCCAAAGTGGCCGGAACCCGAGCGGCCGACGCTGAGATCCATGCCATTGTAGCCGTAGCCGTACCTGCCGGAGTGCATGCTCGCCGAGTCCCTGAATTGCTCGCTCACGGAACTATGATCTCCATAATTATGCAACTGGTAGTCCGGGCCATTTGGATAGCGACCGCAAAATGAGTTTACAAAATAAGAGCTCATTTGTTTTTTGATATGTGTGCTTGATTTGTGGCTCGCGGTCGTTTGTGCGTCTATAGCACCCTTGCACAATTTATGATGAATTATGGAAATGACTGGGACATGTACTTGGTTCCCTCCTACGTAGGCACCCAAATATGGGGTACGACTTCGAATCACGTGCTTTTGTTGTCCAGTCGTAAATCCTGCCTGATGACCTCTAGAGGTAAACTCGTGCACTAATGGGGGAGTTGGGTGGAGGCGAGAGGGTTGGCGCGCGCGCCCCGGGCGCGTGCCCGCCGCCCGTTGCCGCCGTTCAGTCGGACTCGAGCGCCACCCGCTGGAGTTAGGGCGCATCGCCCCGCTTCCGACCCGGGGTTGCAAGGGCTGGGGTCGAATTGAGGTTACAGCCCATTATGGCAAAATTATTGCATTTCCCTCGCAGTTCCATTAGGATGTACCAATTGTTAGGCCGTCAGCTGCCGATCGCGCGCCGGGTGAGGTTGCAGAGGATTGGGGGGAGGTGGTGACCTGCATTTTATTTGCAACAACTTTATTTCCCCCGTTTTGCAGCGCCTCTTATTTTTGTGTCGAGGTTGGGGTCGGTTCTGCCCGTCCTGCCGGCAGCTCTGAATTTTGAAAATACAGATACCACCTTCGGGGAAGGGGGAAAGCCATTTAGCCAATTGGAGAAATAAATCCTGCCCGCAGCAGCAGCAGCAGCTACAATTACGGCTCTCTTTTTGCTAGCGCATGAGGGACAGTGTCCCTGCCGCTCTTAAATGACAGGCGTCTATTAAAGATAGCTTTTGTGTAGTGTTTTTCCAAAGCAAGGTCAAATTTCATACACTTTTATAACCGTAGTCGATTTTTCTTTCTTGTGAGTATGGTTTTCGTGTCATTAGTTTGCTATTTGATTTGCTTACGTATCCAGCTTGGAAAATCTTCATCACAGGGTCTGGTTCCTCGAGCCAGCCGGGCCCCAAGTTGGAGGGTTCCCATTGAACTCAGCGAGTGGGCCCAGGCTCCTTGCAGCCACAGAGGCTGCTTGGGGTCTGAGGATCCGCGGGCTGGGTTACTGGGGTCTTGCTTAGACCTCCAGGAATAAAATGAGGGCGATAATGGAAGCATTTCGTGGCAGTGCCTAGGATCTCCGTAGTTATTTTCCAGGGCTCCGAAAGACACAAGTAAATCACAAATACAGCTGAGAGGCAAGTGGAGTCTCCCGGCTGGAGGCCCGGTGTTGCAGGCGCCCCTGGCAACTCTGGAAGCCAGGACTTTGGAGGCTTCCATGGCCCCGGGCCCCTCGTTGGGTCCTGAACGCTGCTGTGGCGGCGACGCGGGCGATATCGGTGTCAGGGAGCGGGAATCCGGAGCCGGGAGCCTGAGGGAGCACAGACGGTCCCCGGACTGTACTGTACCACTCGGGCCCAGGTTAGCTCGCCTCGTCTGAGGCAGCTTCTCTTCCACTGACGGTTGCGCAAGCGGGGCCGAGAGACTGGGCTCTGTTGGGCCCCCCTTTGTTCCTGAAGCTTCCTGTTCTGGGAGGCGCCCTGGGAGGCCGAGAAAACGCCGGGACCCAGCACTTAGACCCCCTCTTTCCACTGGCCAGAGATGATTTGATGGTGCCCTTCGGGACCTCCTGGCGAGGGACCTAGGCAGAGACGCCCAGATGAGAAACCGGGCTCGGCCCAGGGCTCTTTCCTCCCTAGTAGCCCCTTGTCCCGAGGTCGGGGAGCGCAGAGGCACTAGCACAGGAGCTCCGGACGCATTCAGGGCGCACCCCGGAGCTCCGGAGCGGGTTTGGGCAGCCTTGTGGAGCGGGACTGTGTGTGTGCAGTGCGTCCCGCTCCACCGCTGGTATTGGCTGTGTGTGAGGTTTTGTTTTGTAAGAAATAAATGCACAGACTCTTGCAAAGCTCCGAGCTCCCCTGAAGCTGCAGAAGCCCCCAGATGGGAGCAGGCGGAGAGAAAAGTTGGGGAGCAGGCGAGGGCAAGGGGGCAAAGCCGAAGGAGGTTGCAGCGCTGGCCTGGTCCCTGCCCAGGGGTCTACTGGCCCGCTTTTGCCTCTGAGTCCTCCCCGCTGGGCTGCGTGGAATTGATGAGCTTATTTTCCTTTTTCCACTTCATGCGGCGGTTCTGGAACCAGATCTTGATCTGGCGCTCGGTGAGACAGAGCGCGTTGGCGATCTCGATGCGGCGGCGCCGCGTCAGGTAGCGGTTGAAGTGGAACTCCTTCTCCAGCTCCAGCGTCTGGTAGCGCGTGTAGGTCTGGCGGCCTCGGCGCCCATGGCTCCCGTACACAGCACCTGCGGGCAGAAATGGCCGGGCGCCGGTAAGCCAGGGCCTAGACAGCCGACCCAGTCAGCCCAGTGCCTCCCACAAGGGGCCTCCTGCCTGGAAACCACCCCGCGTCCACTCCAGCCTCTCCCACTATATCTGGGGCCCAAAGCGGACTGGATGGGAGATTATTTCATACCAAGCGAGATGTTTTCCACCTAAAACGACTTGAGGTTGGATTTTATTGCTTTTGAAAAATCTTCCTCATAGGAAAACCATTACAAGCAAAATAGAATGGGCACTCTTAATTTGGGACACTCAAGTAGTGTTTTTGTGGGGATGCAGGGTGTGTGTGTAGGTGTGTGTGTGTGTCTGGGGGTGGGTGGTGTGGACCCTGTAAGTAGTGTACACACTCTGAATTCATAGTGGTCTCTCAGGATGCTATTGTGACCAGCCATGCCAGAACTCAACACATTTTTTGGAAAGTTAAAAATGGTCAGCCCTCTCAAATCTTTACACATTCTCCCAAATTATATGACCCTTCTGAGAAATGCAGAATCCATCAGGGATAAAGTAGATTTTAATGCAAAACATTGTAATTTTAACAATCTTCATTAGGCTCTGTCCTAGGGAATTCCTAGGAGTCTTTGGGATTTCCTGTCAAGTCTTTGGAAACCAGAGTCTAAGAGATGGAGCTATAGATAGTCTAGGATTTCTGGCAATGTAGGATTGTGTGACTGTCTGATCTGGTACCAAAGATGCCTAAGGGTGGTGGGGGTCCCTCCAATACAGGTGTATGAAGCTCAGGCATGGGCTCAGAAGAAGGCAGAACTTGGCTAAGAGTGAGCAGTTGAGTGGAAGGGGGAGGAGGGGAGGGAGGAGAGAGAGAAAAAATCCTGAGTCTGGGGCTGTGGCCCTCCAAGGCTTTGGGGAGACACTGGAAGAGGCCAAATGGCCACCTCTCTTTGTATGGGTTTCTGAGGGGCTAAAAGGAGAGGGGATTGGGAAGCAAAGGGTATTTATCAGTGATGCGGTACAGAAGGCCCTCTGGCTTGGGAAGCTGAGCAGGGTAACTGGGATGCATGAACAAGGCAGTCCTCCCCACCAGTCCCCCTCTCTCTTCAGGCTGTCCCTGTCATAGGTCTCACATTTGTGGCAGTGTCCTCATCCTCCCCTAAGGTGTCACCTTACATGGACACTGGGGCCCTGCCCTTCCTTTGCCATTGCCTGATTGCCCCATTGGGAACAGATTTTTTCTTCTCTTTTAAGCAGCTGAAGAAACTTTGCTGGTTCTTTTCTCCTATCTTTCTCTCTATTCCTCTTTCTACTCTATTTCCTTCTTCTTTCTCTTCCTGCCTCCTTTCCCCTCTCCCTCCACTGTCTTGGGACGTGCCTTACCCGCGCAGGAGTTCATCCGCTGCATCCAAGGGTAAACGGGGCTCGTGTACTTCCGGTCGGTGCCTTCGTCATGGAGTGCTTTGCCCTGCCCGCTGCTGCTGTCGGGTTTGTACTGCTGCTCGGGAGAAAAGTGCAGGTAGTCCCCGGGGCCCCTCTGCTTGCCACTGCCCGAGGGCGAGGCGCCACTGAGGTCCTTATCAGAATAGAAACACGAGGCCCCGTACTCGTAGGATGCCCGGTTGCAAGCCAGGACCGAGTTGGACTGTTGGTAGAAACAAGGTGAGGTGTACGTCTTGTCCGGGAGGCTGGACGCCCCATAAGAGGCCGGGAAGGGCCTCAGAGCGTCATAGCCGGCCTGGTAGAGGGGCAGCTGGCCCAAGAAGGAGTCCTGGCCGCTGGGCAGGCTCCCGGGGAAAGTAGGATTCACAAAATAGGAACTCATTTGCGCGCCCCTCTGCAGGACTGTGATTTGTTGTGTATTAGTACATCTGGCTATAACTATTAGTAGTCATCGAACTGGTTTGTTTCTGGATGGCCGAGCGCCAAAAGCGACAGCAGCAAATCGCACCAGCTGACGCGGCAGCGGCCAATGGGAGCGAGCGCCGGAGCCCGCTCCCCGGGGACCGCGGCGACCGAGGCAGCAAAGTTACAAACAGCCCCCAGCCCGCCCGCCCGCCGCCCGCCCGGCAGATTAATGGGCGCTCATAGCCAGCCGGCCCAGCTCTCGGCTCTCTTCCCGAACGCCAGTGGCGGGCACGGCCCGTTCAGGGGCGAAGAGATCAGGCCAGAGTAGGGACACTAGCGCTGGGGCCGCCACAAAGGCCCCACCAGGCTCCCTCCTTCCTCCTCCCCTTTTTGCTTTATTGCATTTTGCAGGTTACCCGCCCCTCCTCCTCTAAACAGGAAACCTGAAGGTCCCGCGCCAGGAGGGGCGGTGACAAAAGTGGCTTTGCTCCCAGCCGACCCGCACTCCAGGCACGGCCCCGAATCGCCCCTCCCCTAGCGCTCCCCTATTCGTGGGTGCGAGTTCTTGAGCTGGAGCCCGGGCTCTCAGAAACCAGGCCTGAACTCCCTGCCCTTCACTCCTGCGCCTTAGGAATCGGTGAACTCCCTTAGTCTCTCCTTCTCCACTCTCACCAGGGACCTGGGCCTCGCAGGCCAGAGCTGAAGGCTCACCTCGAGCTGACCAGGACTCAGCCAAACGCAGGTTCTTCCCACCCATTCCCTTCTCCACATACACATCTTGGTTGAGTCCCAAAGGGCTCAATAACCCTAGCCTGCCTGGTCTCAAAGCAGCCTTTCCAGCCGGGCGTCCCCATCCCACCTTTGAATCCAGAGAATTGAGAGGCCACAAACCACTCGTTTCCACAAGAAAGAACCGACAGAGCAGCAGCTGGCCGTGAGACTGGGCACCTAAGCCAGCCGAGGTACCTGCTCCCTACCCAGCGCCTGGGGACTCGGCATCCGTGGGGAGAACCGCTCAGAGCTGAGGCAGATAAAAATCCAGGTGTAGAATCTCTCTGTCCTCATTCCAGAGGCGCAGGAGGCGCAGGGGCCCTGGCCAAGCTGGGCACAGAAGGCAGCTCTGCGGGGCCCAAGGCCGCGGGGATAATTGATGAGCCCGGTTTCCGGGGCGCCCGACAGCCAGCACTGTCCTAGGGCCGTCCTCTTTACTGCCCTTCCTGGGACCGCGGAGGGCTGCCGCCCTGCAGTGGCTCCAGAACCAGGAATGTTGTCTCACTGGCTCCAGAAATCCTGAATTGCTTTCACTGTTGTCCCAGGCCTGGCTGTCCCCAGACAGGACAGGAAAAGCCTGTCCTGGGCTGCTCACTCTTGCCTGAGAGGTGTGCCTTCGAGATAGTTGACTTTTACAGCACATGGATCAATCTCGTTTTGTAAAATGTAATAGCAGCCCAATGGCATTTTTACAACTGTGGTTGTTGGGCTTGTAAAACCCCTTGAATTAGCTTTAAAAACCTCAATTCCGTGGAGGTTGAAAAAAGACTACGTGATTTGGACGGATTTCTGGAGATTGTTTACAAGATCTGTAAAACTCTGGCCAGAGCAGGCTCTCGGGGTTCAGAACTTAGTGGGGAGGGGGCAACTGGCAGTGTTCCGGTAGGAATCTAGTAATGACTTAGTCTTCCTTGCTTTCGATTCTTTTGGTGAGCTCTCCTCCCCCCAAGGGAAAAAATTGGAAAAGGACTGGCCTAAGGTCGACCTCCACAGAGTCCAAGAGGCACTCCTGGAAGGCGGCTGCTAGCCCTGCAATGGGGGCAACCCTGGAAGCCGGGTGCCTGTTCCCCAGTCAGTCCAGCCTGGAAAGGGTTTCCTGTGCAGATAAAGAAGGGCTTCGAATGAGAGGTTGGAATTGGGCGGATAGAATCGAACATTTCCACATTACTTCAGGGAAATAATTCAATAGGTGAAAATGAAAACTCGAGTCAAAAAATTAAAAGGGACTTTAAAAAATAGCTATTTGAAGAAAATCATGTTTGCGTTATTTTTTCTTAAACAAAATTATCAGACAACAGTGATTTTAAGCAAGTTATTATTTAAGATGAAAACAACTGTTTTGGAGATGTCAATCAATGTTTACATTTACGATTTCCTTTGCATTCCTCCATGTCCCACACAGTGTTGGGGTCGGTGTCAATTTACTATGATTATTGTTTGTCATGCCTTGACCAGGATTCTCGATCTAATCATTGTTCCAACTAACAGGAGAATTTGATTTCTCAGCTAAGAGCCAGAAAACATATTTCTAGCTTCTGTAGGCACTAAGATGGAAAAATATACATTACATTGGAACCTTTACGTGTTAGTCAAGGTTAGTGCATATCATGTTGGCAGCTGACCAATTTATTTTTCCAATCGGATATGCACACATAGGGGGGCGTGTGTGTGTGTGTGTGTGTGTGTGTGTGGAGAGAGAGAGAGAGACATTCCAGCAAGAATAGGAACCCCACACCCTCCAGAGCCTCTCCTGAGATGGTGAGAATGGCCACCCCAGGGCTCTCTCTTTGCCAAAGCCACGCAGAAAGCGACTTACCTTTCAGTTTCTCTCCAAGGGAGGGTAGGATGGCGAGCTGGGCCCCACTGTCTGCCCTTGCCCTGGTTGCACATTGAACAGCTCCACCTCCGCCAGCCTGGAGGGTGGCCTGAGATTATGTAGGTGTGGGACCTTGAAGGCCACCTCAGTCCAGCCAGATCGCTAGCCAGGCCACAGCCCACAGCGCACAGGTGCGGCCTCTGCCCTTCACAGGCCCTCGCCAGGAACCAAAGCCGGCCTCCTTTGCCATAGCCAATCCTCCTCAGGGCAGCCAGGCCCACAGGCCTCAGGACTACAGGTAGTCTCTCCGATTTCACAGTCCCAAAGCCAGAGCGTTCCCTGAACCAGCGTGTGCCCCCAGGGCGCCTTGGGACCCGCAGCTTGGACAGAAGCAGCCGTGACGTGCCAGGCGGCCTGTGCAACCAGTCTCCATGGTGCTGGAGTGGGCGTAGGGGGAGGACCCGAGTCTATACCGGCGTCCAGCTGCGGTCAGGGGTGGCCGAGGCAGAGAGATTTCCCGGCCAAATAGGCTCAGGGTGATCGCCCCCCAGGTTCCCTTTCGTCCCCCTCTCCCCTGCTTGCTGGAAATCTCTGAGGGGCCCGTACAGCAGTCGGCCAGGCTGTAAGAGGCAGGCTGCGGCCGGCGCCGGTCCCGGCGACCGCCACAGCGTGGCAGCAGCGAGCGCCAGCGCGGTCGCAATAAATAATCCGCCCGCGGCAGCCGCAGTCAGGAAGCCAGAGGCCCTAGGATGCAAATACGCCGCTTTATCCGCCCTGAGCGCACCCAGAGCACGGGGGAACGTCCCAAACATCCACAGCCCCTTCCTATTTATCTAATGCATACCAAAATATTGTCTCAAGATGGGGAAACAACAACCCAAGCCAAAAACAAACAAAAAGAACCTCGGGCTCCTTTCTTTTCTCTGTCCGGGGAGTTCCTGGGGCAAATCTGGTCTGATTGCACACCTAGGCCGAGCTACAGTTCGAGCCTCCGCGCTAAGAAAAGCCACCGCCAGCAGCACCCTCCGCGCTTCCTCCCCGGCAGCTCTACAGTCCTCTCCCTGCTCGCAGAAGGTGGGGAGTGCGGTCACCAGTCCGTTGCGCCAAGGTGGATTGGGGGGGGGTCCCCCTACCGCCCAGACTCGATTTGCATCCTTCTTTCCACCTTAGCTGCGGGCCCCTGCCACCCGCGCTAACACCATAACGTCCTCTGCGCCGAAACTTCCCACCAAGTAACACCCAATTAACCCCATCCTCTCCTCCAACACAGAATTCCACCCACGCACCTATTCCCTCTCCCAGCACTTCAGACACCTCTCTCATCGAAAAAGTGGGCGAAGGGAAGCCGGCAACGAGCGAAGAACTCTGGTCGAATTAGTAAGTTTTTGTCTGTTTTCCCCATTCTATCTTTCTCTCTGAAACCACTTCCCTGGAATAGAAAGTACTGTGATGATGCTAATAAAATGCCAGTGGATTAATGCACTTTGCCCTCACCTCTTCCCACCTTCCCAGGTCGAGAATGGTCTCTTGGAGAATCCAACAAAACCAAATTAGGCCATGAATGGAAATAAAATCCAAACCCAAGGGGCTAGCGGGAACACAGAATGCGGGCCACTTCATTTTGGGCTTCACGGGTTCGCTGGGGAAGGGGAGAGAGAAGACCCAAGGGCTGCTGCCCTGTGCCTGGGCGCTGTGCCACGGAGGGCCGAGGGAAGGCGGGCACTTACTGCCAAGGCGAGCTAAGGAGGGGAGAGAAATGTGTGTGTGTGTGTGTGTGTGTGTGTGTGTGTGTGTGTCTGTGTCTGTGTGTGTGGACGTGTTTGGGTTGTGGTGTGTGATGGGGTGAGTGTGAATGGGTGAGTACGGGTGAGGGGGAGTATGCCCCTCTTAAAGCCTCCCTGGGTACCCTCTCGCACCGCTGCCGCTGCCGGCTGTCACCTCACCACCTTTGCTCCTATCTCCTCCCCACATGTCTCACCTTCAGATGGCGGCTCCCAGAAGCTCCTGCCCCTCTGACAGCTGTCGCTTGGGCAGCCCGAGAGACGAATTGTCCTCCTTCCTGGTGCCAGAGGACGCAGGAAATTAGCCAGGTTGTGAGTTGCAAAGCTGCCGCCAAGGCGCCGGGAACTGGGCGCGCCCCACCTCCAGCAGGAGCCACCAGGCCTGGTTTGGCCTGGGCTTTCCCTCGCTCGCCATTGCCGGACAAAGCGCAGCCGAGCCGGGCTGGAAGACAGAGCTCCGAAGCAGGCAGGATGGAGCGGAGCAAAAGAATGCGGCTCTATTCTCGCAAGGGAAATTATAAAAAAGTTCATGTTCACGGTTCCCATCCACATGACCGACAGCGGCCAATGGAAGGGCCGAACAACTCATAAAGTTGTATTGCAAAGTTGTAAATTTTCATAAACAACAACGGATTTATGACCCTTTCCCCATCACTGAGAGGAGGCAGCTCTTACACCGGCGCCATCTTACCACTGAGGCCGCCCCGACTAGGGGCCTCAGGTTTTATAGACCCTTTTGGGCCGGGTTTTATTAAAAGAGCCCTAAGAAGCGGGCCCAACCCAGGCAGGAGACTGGAGACGAGGTCTTACCGGCAGAACACAGGATGCTCTGAGCTGCCACCACAATCCCTCGCCCTTCGCCTCTCGCCTCTTCCCCGCACCCAGACGCCCCTGCCCGTGCCCTGGCAGTACAACCCAGCGGGGGTCTGCGTACTGGCCCCTACCCGCGCCACCTACTGCAGTGTCGGACCCTGGGGCGCCCTCGCCTCGGCTGCAGGCGGGGTGGGGGCCTTAAAAATCCTATTTCCTAGCCTGGGGCTGGGTTCAGGGCGCCTGCGAAATCCGGAATCAGTCGCTGCGTAAAGCCCCTTTCCAAACCCACTGCGCAGTCTTAGAGGAAAGGGTGGATTTGAAGTTTCCTCGTGGAATTTATGAAGGTTTTTAGGGAGGTTCATAGCATATAACCTATCTACCGAAGATTCCGTTTTCAAGGAATCTAGATGTTAGCGCACACACAAAAACCAGATAAACGTCTCTACACGGAGAAAGGCACATACACAATTACGCACTCAGGGACGGGCATACACTCTATTGTGGGCACAGAATGGCATGCAATTATGGACACACAGAAACACATGCACCCAATTATGGACACTAAAATATACGCAATTGTGGAATTAGGAAAAAATACACACACAGATACATACAGAAAAAATAAGCACATACTCATACAAATACACATACAAAATACATAAAAAGAGACATGACGCCAATACATGGGCACCCAACACTTGGACCATCACAAGGTCAGCCACCCCACTTTTGCTTCCTCACTGCCTCTTGCCCTCCAGCCATGCTCACCTCCCCTTTCACGTCCCCTCTGGATAAAGCAGCCCACATTTTTCTTTGTCACCAAGCATCTTTATTTTTCTGTTACATAAAACACAGTTAACTGGGCTGGGAAGTGTGCCTTCCCTGAACCCCAGGATGTAGCTGAGGGAGATACAGGACAACACGGGAGATGAAGGGCATTGAGGAAGGCATTGGACCTCCCCACTCACTACAGTTAGCTCAAGACAACACACCATGCTACAAAGTCACCCCAATAACACATTCTTTCCAAGTCAAGACGCTGCCCTACAAATGAACTCCAAGACTATAGAAATGACCAAAAAAATCTTGTTCAAATATACAGTATTTGTTATTATAGGAAACGTCAGGGTGTACATATTTAACACAGCTGAACAGCAAGATAGGGGAGCCAGAGGAAAGGACAGTGAAGATGGGAGCATCTCCACAGTCCTACTAAGCAGAAGCTAACCCAGAGGTCTGCAGCCAGCCCAGGAACATTCCCCTCCAGAAGTGGGGGGTGATGGGCCTGAACTTTGGGTGCCAAGCCAGAGAAGGAGGGATTCTAGGGTGCAGCACTTATAATGCTTTTTGGAATAAATATATTATTTTTCAATTTAAATAGATGCCAATACCCTGGTCCTGGACCTCAGCACATTCTCAGGGCAGCCTCAGGGACCCCAAAGTCTGCCAGCTATAAGCAGCAGGGGTCTTTCCTGGGAGCAGTCGGCACTAGGTAGCAGGCAAGCCAGCCAGCACGAAATAGGTAGTTTTAGGGGAGTAGGTAGTATTGAGATTCACGTTCTTGCGGGTCTGGGAGGGTGGCGCTGGGTGTCTGCCAGTGTTGGGATACATAGGGGCTTCCTGGGAATGGAGGCCCTCTGGGGCTGGATACATAGGTAGTTTGGGGGTGCCTCGAGCGGAGGCCTGTGCTAGGTAGTATTTTGGCCGCGCCAGCGCGGGGCCGGCTAGCCTGGGACTGGGGGTGTCTGTTGGGGTGGTCAGAGACGAGGGAATCCAAGGCGACCTAGTCTCTGTGGCCGCTCAGTCCAGAAAAGTTGGGAGCTGGAGTGGGTGATGGGGAGGGTAGAATGCAGGTTGGGGACTAGGTTTTCTGGTTT